GAGCCTACTTAAAAAAAAAATTGACAGACTGGGGTTCATACTAACTAGACTACTGAAACTGAACTAAGTAACAATCACTATTCTTAGATCAACTATTCTGCCACCAGTTTTCATCCTCATTGGAGAAAATTAGTGGGCAAAAGTTAGAATCCTAGACAGAACTGTCCATGTCCTCTGACAGCAACAAATAGAATCACAGTAGATAGAAGACCATCTTAAGATCCCCACTAACAGAAGGGGGGGGGAAGATCCCCACCAAAAGGGTAAGTGTCAGTAACCTAGAGCAGGGATAGCTAGCAATACTTTCTCTCCTTCCAGAGAAAAGGCAGCATGGTATAAATGAGGAATCAGGAGACTTGGGTTCTAGTTTCAAGTCTGCCACTAATCAGCAACGTGTTGACTTCCCTCCTCTGAGCCTAGGTTTCTCTTTCAGTTAAATGGGAGGGCTGGGCTGAATGATCTCTGATCCTTTCCTAAAAATGTCACCATTCTATCCATCCTTTCAAGGCCTCAAAAATATTTTGGCTGCCACTAAAAAAATAAAGAATGCTCAAAATGTCACATTTATTTTTATAACATGTTCTCACTGCCAACCTTTAATATGTGTATGTATAATCCACACAAACTAGCAAGAGCATTCATCTCATATATATTTTACCCAGTAAACATTTAATTTAAAATCTGTGGGTCTATGGGTACCTGGGTGGTTAAGCATCTGACTTTGGCTCAGGTCTCTATCTCAGGGTCCTGGGATTGGGTCCCTGCATCGAAATCCCTGCTCAGCAGGGAATCTGCTTCTCTTTCTCCCCCTCTGCCCCTCCCCCCTCTTGTGCATGCATGTACGCACTCACTCTCTCAAATAAAATCTTTAAAAATTTTTTAAAAATAAAATAAAATCTATGGACCTTAAAATAAAATAAAATCTATGGGTCCTGAATCATGTACCAAATACCATCATTTGTTAAACTAAAAACTAAAAAAAAGGGCGCCTGGGTGGCTCAGTTGGTTAAGTGTCTGCCTTCGGCTCAGGTCATGATCCCACGGGTCTCCTTGCTCAGCAGGAAGCCTGCTTCTCTCTCTCTCCTTCTGCCGCTCCCCCTGCTTGTGCAAGCGCTCTCTCTCAAATAAATATTTTAAAAAAATGTTTTAAATAAAAACTAAAAAAAAATATCATGGCAAGATTTCCCAAGAACAAAAACTTACCAATAAAAGCACTATTAAAGCTCAACACGATGAGAGACTTTAGAGTTGGAAGAGTTCTCAGAGTGTAATCTCAATTTAAAGATGAGGAAATGAAATGACTCAGAGTCCAAGGCTTTTTTCTACTATACCACACTTCCTCCTCCCTTTCCTGCTTTATCAAAAGACAGCATAGTAGCAAAAAGAACAGTAGACTGTGAAACTGACCTGGATTCTAGTCCTAATTGCCATTAATTTGCTGTGGCACCTTGGACAAGTCGCTTTCCCTCTTTAGGCTTTGGTTTTCACAATAATTTATATGCAGAAATTTAACTAGATGCCCCTTCTAGCTGTAACATGCTATGATCTTATTAAATTCCTATCTGTCAGGGCAACCCTCTTGGGTCCTCTCCCTCTTGGGAGCTTTGTACTCTCACTCAGTATCGCTCAATAAACTTTGCTGCCCACCAAAAAAAAAAAAAATTCCTATCTAACAAAACAAAATAAACATTCCTGAAAGAGAAAAATGGGAATTTCTAGCCAAGAGAACTGAAAAGCGGGCTGCTAGTTTTAAATAGATGCATCAGTTCAATTCAGCAAGCTGGTCCTAAAGCATTTTACTCCAGAATCTCTACACACAAATGCATACACACAATGCGGGACAGCTATGATGTACTGGAAAAAAAATACTAGACTTGGAGTCTGAAGAACTGGCTTCAAATCCCAGTTCTGTCATTTACAAGCTGTGTCTCATAGGCCAATTCATTAACCTCTCTGAGCCAAAGGTTCCTCATATGTTAAAATGGAGAAAACAAGGAAATCTGACCTAATATATCAATCAAAAGAAAGCATTATAAATGTGGTATAAGGGACACCTGGGTGGCTCAGTCAGTGAAGCGTCTGCCTTCAAGCTCAGGTCATGATTGCAGGGTCCTGGGATCGAGTCCCACATTTGCTCCCTGCTCTGCAGGAAGCCTGCTTCTCTCTCTCCCTCTGCTTGTGCTCTCTTGCTCTCTTGTTCTCTCTCAAATAAATAATAAAAAATCTTTTAAAAAATTAAAAAAAATAAACGTGGTAATATTGCAAAGCTGGGCGATTGGAGAAGATCTGCCACTGTGGAAAAGTAGGCTGTACTGGAATCAAGTCCTTCTATTTAAAAACTGGGCTGAGTTTGGGCGCCTGGGTGGCTCAGTTGGTTAAGCGACTGCCTTCGGCTCAGGTCATGATCCTGGAGTCCCAGGATCGAGTCCCACATCGGGCTCCCTGCTCGGCGGGGAGTCTGCTTCTCCCTCTGACCCTCTCATGCTCTACCTCATTCTCTGTCTCAAATAAATAAATAAAATCTTAAAAAAAAAAAACAAAAAAAACTGGGCTGAGTTTGAACTTTCAAAGAGCAGAACAAAGCTGAAGACACCACTGGAGGGGAACAGAAGAAATAAATCAATTTTAGGAGACAGATTGTGTACTTGGATTCTGATTAACAAAACATATGAGATAACTTTCACCGCCTATCAGTTTACTACAATTTGATGAAAATGGTCTGTGTACTGTGGCACACCCAACAGCAAGGAACATTTCTTAAAGTTTGCAAACGCAGTCTGTTAACCTCTTAGAGTTTGTATGGTGTGCCACTCCAATTCATATCAAGGGACAGAAGATATTTCTGATGACCAGATATCTAGTGATAGCATCTGTTTCCACAAATCAAGATTTCTCACTGCATTTCTCTTCACGGTACCTTATGCAAAAGACAAAACCAGTCACAAAGAACATAGGAAATGTTAATGATACCAACCTTTATCAGTCCTCCCAGTACTGCTAGTTCTTTTCAGATGCAATTCTCCAGATGAATCTAATTCTCTTCCAAATCCGCCCCCCCCCCCCCGCACTAATACAGAATGGAGCCATGAAATTCACAGACTGACACTATAGCTTTACCCACAGAGTTCAACAGGATTAGTATTTGGAGAGGTTGGAGAGGTCAGAGTTAAAATTAGAAGGCAGGGTCCCAAGAGACGTTTTTACTTTTCACCTACTATCAAAGGATCAAAGTGCTTGAGAAACTCTATTATTCCACGAGCCAAGAAGTGATTCTATCAATTCTATCAAAATGACTCATTGGGTTTAAATAAGTTAAATAGCTCCAAGTTCTGCATACTTCCTCCCAAAGTAACCATGGTGTGAAGTTAAATTTGTTAATTCCAAGAAAGGAAGAAGGGAATAGACATTTGGGTTCTTTCTCTGTGCCAGGTACTAGGCTGGCTAGACAATATACACTCCTGATATAACTGTCCTTCAAAAGTAAATGTTTCATTCATTGAAAGAAACAATATTCACATATTTCTAAACTGATTCCGATTATATACATAGATTGTTATTTCCTTCCCCCACTCCACATACACGTATACACTCAGAAGCACTAAAAGATTAGGTCTGTCATTTAACCTAAATCGACAGTTCACTACTTTGAGGGGAAAACCACAAAAACAAAATGTAATTTCAAGGGAATCCAATCTATTTGGAAATCCAAAAGTATTTTCAATCCTCTAACATCTAGCTATGAACTTGCTGAACTTGAAGGAGACTCAGTGCCACCTCAAGATTGGCCACTGCCACCCAAAAATCTCATAATAGTGATAGGAAGGTTGGTGGAAACACATCTGCGATCTACCAATGTACATTTCTTTCTGATTTTGCTGCTATAACTTTTTTGGTATATTTTATATATAAAATATATTAGGCTTTAGAATGACTCCTAGAAAGTACAGATAATTTTCTTGCATCAAACACGGTCTTTCTTCCAGGGGGTAAGTTTGGGAATTGTAGGCAGTTGAACTCCTGTAACCCTATTAGTGTCTACTTCCATTAGCATACAAATTTTACCAACTCTCAAGTTCTTACAACATGAAAATATGTTTCACTGCCTCTACTTCCACACAAGTCCGTAGAAGAGTTCGGCAAAATAGCTTCAAACCCTGTTTCAACTTTGAAAAGTGGAGGAGTGGGTAAGTAGAAGTCCAAGTCAAGCGAAGCATTCCAACTACTGCACTTCCTTACTCAGAATCTCATACTAATCATCACTAAAACATCTTGCAGAATTAGATAAATAACACAAAGCTGTGGCTCTCCTTCCAACCACCAGATTACTCAGCACTTGTTTGTATCTCTGTAGTTGGTTATGTGCAACTGAGTCCGGCTACCCTTTTAGGATGACATTCTCCCTAATGGTAAGGACCTTGTCTCCGATTTCCTTTGCCTCACCGTAAGGTGCTATTTTAATAAAACACTGTTGATCTAGAGTACATCAGCTAGAGCACTTTCCTAAGTAAAATACCCAACCATTCCCCCGCTCCTTTTCTTTCTGTGCAACGAAGAGGACGGCACATAGTTACAGCTACCTCTGAAACGAATAGGTAAGTTAGCGGCAAAAGAAAAAACCAATGGGAAACGCAATTTCTCCTGTTACTGCTCCTTTAATCTGTGGTCCACAGGGCCAAAACGGATGTTTCGAAGATAAAGCACTGAACCCTACAAATACAAATCGCCAGCTCTCGGGCACGTAAGCTGTCCCACCTCGAAGAAAGCTGGACAGGACGAGAAAGGGGCTCCTTAGCCCCAGGGGCCGCTCACCAGGGAAAGGAGGGGGTTTGGCCCAGGTGGGCGATTCCCCCTCCCCCGACTCCCTCTGAAGTGCCCGAGTGAAACACAGAGGAGCAGCGGTGGCGGACACAGCGGGACCTGGGAGGGGTGCCGGGGGAAGGCACAGGGGAAGCCGGGGGACTGGAGCGCCCGGCTTCTGGGCCAGAGCTCCAGTTACTTACCCTACAGGGTAGCCGCCCCCTAGGTGCACATCTTCAGGGGCATCAAAGAATTCCTCGGTGTCGCTTTCCGACGCCATTTATAGGACACACCCGCGGGTGAGGGGGCCGGCGCCGCCTGCAGGGAGGGTGACTTTCGTCTCCTCCTCGTCGTCTTCCACCCCGGCGAGACCGTGGGGAGGTGGGTCCCAGGCGAGGAGAGGGACGGGGGAGACGATCTAGAGTGAGGAGCCGGTGAGGGGCAGGGGGCCGCCGTCAGCTGCCGGGCTGTGGGAATGACCGGCCGAGCGGCAGCCTGAGGAAGCGGCGGTGGGTCCAGGGACTGTTGCAGCCGCCGCTCCGGGCGATAGGTGTACAAGGAGAGCGAGAGAAGAGGCGGCGGCTCTCTGTGGGGGAGGGCGGGCGCGCAGACGACAGCAGCTCCAATTTCTCCCGCAGCAGCAATTACAGCAGCTGGAAGAGTCAGTTGCCCGCAAAATACCGACGCGCACTTAACCTCGCGAGATTTCGGGAGGGGCCGGTTAAAGCGTGGGCGGGGCGACGAGGAGGCGGGGGCGGTTCCAGAGCGGCAGCGCCCAGATTTCTCCTACCCGAGAGGCCTATCAAAACGACGCAAGCGCGTTGAGGGCGTTCGGTGAAGGCCGGAAGTAGCCGAGGAGGGTGGAGCCTACAACCTGCGCAGGAGCGGCGTGGTGCCTTAGATCTGAGCGAGCGAGCCCGACGTGGGTGGGGTCTGGCTGATTGTCTTACCTCTAGTTCTGCTGCTCCAAAGAGAGGCAACTTCAGAGGGATGGTTTTGAGTCTGCTTTTTTCCCTTGAGAGGAAATGCTGTCGGGAAGCATTGGCATTGTGGTTTACATTTACTTACGTCGTCTTAATTTATCCAAGCCCGGCATATCCCACCCTAGGGCAAAGGCAGGTCCACCTCCTCGAGTGTTACGGGAATAACTCGTCCTATTTACTACAGGATCTCTAATTGAGATCCCTAAATACGCTCCTGCCGGCCAGAGGGTGGGGTCCATGAGAGATACGTGGGCAGTGTGCCAGTTCCATGAAGTAATGATGGATTTATTGCCGGAGCGGAGCCAGCATAAGGCCTCCAGTTACTCTTTCTCTACAAATATTTGTTGCTGCCCACACAATGTGAGAGAAATTCTTACAGACTGGCCAAGATGCGGATCAGTCCATGGTAAATATATATTGAACAGATACCGTTGCAAAACTAAGAGCTTGTAACTTAATTCTGACCCTTGATTGCCCTATGTCCAGTGATGAAAATACAAAAGTACTTTTTTTTTTAGGGTTTTATTTATTTGACAGAGACACAGCGAGAGAGGGAACACAAGCAGGGAGGGGGAGTGGGAGAGGGAGAACCAGGCTTCCCGCTGAGCAAGGAGCCCGATGTGGGGCTCGATATGGGGCTCGATGTGGGGCTCGATCTCAGGAGTCTGGGATCGTGACCTGAGCTGAAGGCAGATGCTTAAGGACTGAGCCACCTAGGCGCCCCACAAAAGTACTTTTTGAAAGACCAAGATGTTCTTTCTTACCGGATCATTCACCACCAGGGTGATAACATTGACTTTCTGTATGATCGCTGAATCACATTTGTTTCCCATTGAAGTCATGACAGGAAGGCTCTCAGAACTGTTTGTTCAGCCTCAACTACTGCTCAAGATGGCAGCAGGAAAGACTGGATTGGGTCTGGGCACTTGGCCTCAGAAGCTAAAATGAAGTTCTAAATTTCTCCTTGTAAAGCAACCAGGAAAAAACCTGGCGTTGTCTGGTGTACCTGAGTAAAACCAAATGCCATATACTGTAACTTCTGTAACATCCCAGGGAATTAAGGGGAAACACTGCATGTTCAAATATGGTAATATTTTTCTGCAGCAAACCATATAATTATTCATATGGAGTAAATGAATAGCAGTGAATAGCCTCATTCAGTTCAGGTCAGATAGTACTGCCAAATAAGTTTAGGTTAGGTCAATTTGACTGGCAAATAAGTTACTAAAAATACAAAACAAAATTTTTAGTTTCCAGAGCCTTTTGGATTTCAAAACTGCAGACAAGTGATTTCTGGGTCCTTGTGTCCTTTTGTCACAATCTAGTAATTATTAGCTTTTATGTGTTTTAAACATGTTAATTTCCCAGGTATAAAACTGTATCTCTAATACTAACTTTTTATTTTTGTTGATCACTAGAAAAGATATGCTTTTTTTCCTTATGGATTATGAAAAGATAAAAGTAGACAAACTACCTGAATTTATTCTCTTCCTAGTCATCTAATAGTGAATTTATGTTTGCCTTAAAAATTAAGTTTGGTGTTGGGGTGCCTGACTGGTTCAGTTGGTAGAGCATGTGGCTCTTGATCTTGGGGTCCTGAGTTTGAGCCTCACGTTGGGCATAGAGATTATTTAAAAAAAAAAAAAAAGAAAGCTGAATAAGATAATTTAGTTCCTGTCTTCCAGGAGCTCACAATCTAGCAACAGATCCAAATATGGATTCCTAATTTGGTGCCTTTTTTTCGCTATACCATATCACCTTTCTTGAATCTTTTTTTTTTTCTCTCTTGGACCTTTTAAGGTACCTTAAACGTTATGCTTAGAAAAAATCAAAGTGGAGAAATGATAAGCAGAAAACATTTTAGAGCTATTAAAGTTGTCTGTTTAAATGCTTTTATCAGTTATGTGAGGAAGTGAGTTTCTGGTAACATCAAAACACATGTGTACTGAGTGTCATAATTTTTTTTTAAGATTTTATTTATTTATTTGCCAGAGAGAGAGAGCATGGGAGAGAGAGTGAGAGTACAAACAGGGGGAGTGGCAGGCAGAGGGAGAAGCAGGCTCCCCGCTGAGCAAGGAGCCCAATATGGGACTCCATTTCAGGACCATGGGATCATGACCCGAGTCCAAGGCAGACGCTTAACCGACTGAGCCACCCAGGCGTCCCAACATGTCATAATATTTTTTTAAAAGATTTATGTATTTAGAGAGAGAAAGAGAGCACGAGTTGGGGGAGGGGCAGAGGCTTGACATGTGACTTGATCCCATAAGCCTGAGATCATGACCTGAGCCCAAACCAAGAGTTGGATGCTCAACCCACTGAGCCACCCAGGCGCCCCTCATAATTTTTTTAAGATTTTATTTTTAAGTAATCTCTACACCCAATGTGGGGCTTGAACTCACAACCCTGAGATCAAGAGTCACATACTCCACTAGGTAAGCCAGCCACCTCTCCCCACCCCATGTCATCATTTTAAAAGATGCTTTGCCCGAATCATCTAAATTTTTAAAGCAGCAGGTTTTAGGTTTAGTCCAAGGGAGTAGTTTTAAAGCTTTTCTCCTTATTAGAAATGAAACTTTTTAATCAAACCTAATTTCCGGCAAAAGTCTACTTATCATTAAAAGAATAACTGCTGCAGCTGAAGCAGGAATAGTTCAGGTCCCTGAGGGTCCAGAGACTGCCCCAAGACACCGTTAAAAAAAATTGGAGGCTATTGGTCCAAAGCTGGGGTAGGCAAATTATGGTTCACTGGACAAATCTGTCCCACTGTCTGTTTTTGTAAATACAATTCCCCCTTATCTATGGTTTCGCTTTCTGCAGTTTCAGTTGCCCAAGATCAACTGTGGTTCAGAAGCAGATGCTTCTCCTTCTGACGTGTCATCTAACAGTACATCAGAACACCTACATCATTTACCTCCCTTTATCTCATCACATAGGCATTTTATCATTTCATATCACCACAAGAAGAAGGGTGAGTACAGCGCAATAAGATATTTTGAGATAGACCACATTCACATAACTTTTATTACCAGTATGTTGTTATAATTATACTACTGTATTGTTATTGTTAATCTTCTACTGAGCCTAATTTATAAATTAAACTTTATCATAGGTATGTGTGTAGAGGAAAAAACATAGTATATATAGGGTTTGGTACTCTCTGTATTTTCAGGCACTGCGGGGTTCAGTTTCAGTGGGGGTCCTGGGACATATTCCCCGTGGATAAAGGAGGGCTACTGTAAAGTTTTATTGGAATACAGCCAGGCCTAGCTGTCTATGTATTGTATGTCTGCTTTTAGGGCAGAGTTGAGCAATTAGGACAGAGACTGTATGGCCCACAAAGCCTAAAATGTTTACTACCAGGCTCTTTACAGAAAATTTTGCCAACGTTTGGTCCATAGGATACTACTTTCTAGGGTACCCCAGAACTGAAAGTACATGCATATTAAATGGTTATTTGAATTAGTTTCACAACAGAATTGTATAATGCCACAAAATCACACACCTAGATAAGAATGAGGATAAAACTGTTTCCCACCCGGCTCATTCCTAGTGGCTTTAAAAACTACCCAGGTCTAAGGCTAAAGTGGGTTTCAGGAAACTTTTTCTGTCTCCTTACCTGCACAGCATAAACTCTACTTAGGAGTTAAAAGGCGACAAGTCACAGTCAGTGTATGGAACAATTTGTGGGATGCTTGCTCTCTTCACTTGGCAAGAATAATACAAACTGGCAGTATACTTGGAGCCAATTGTGCTCCAACCTCAAGGGTAATCACTGGGAACATCAGTGACAAGACTGTCATGTGCGTAGGGGCGCTTGGGTGGCTCAGATGGTTAAGCGTCTGCCTTGGGCTCAGGTCATGATCCCAGGGTCCTGGGATCGAGTCCCACATCAGGCTTCTGGCTCGGCGGGGAGCCTGCTTCTCCCTCTCCCTCTGCCTCTCTCCCTGCTCATGCTCTCTCTCTCTCTATCTCTGTGTCTCAAATGAATAAATAAAATCTTAAAAAAAAAAAGACTGTCACGTGTGTAGGCTTTTGTTACAAACAACAGCTAAAGTGATAACTCAGGGAAAAACTTTTTATATACGAAGTCAGAGGATTTGAGATACAATATTGACATGAACTGATTTAATATTGCAATCTCTGGGAGAGTTTTTATAGATTTTGAAGTATCAAAATCCATAAAAGAAAATCAATCTGAACTGGCCAAAATTTCTCAGGACCAAGCTAAAATTCTGTAATCATCAACCTTCAATTATGTTTGAAAGGTCAGCTGTGTTCCAGATTATGATGGTAAATATTTAAAAACTCATTTCTATTTGGCTTTGGAATCTTTGTATCTTTTTTAGGTCCATACCACCTTCTTAATGATGTTTTCTCGATATTAATATTAAAATGAATTTTCAATCTCTGAGCACACAGGAACTGAAAGTAGAGAGTCTAGAAATTTGTTAAGAGATGCAGAAAAAAAAAAAAAGATGCAGAAAAGCCAGTTTGGGATTTAAATTGTCTTACTATTATGTAGTAGAATACTAAGTTCAAGACTCTGGAATAAAACTAACTGGGATTATCTTAAACAAAACAAAACAAAACAAAAAAAGGAATTTATTCATTTGCATAATCAAATATAGACTGCTATAACACTTGTCTGTTCCTTTGTGATTAATGTATTGGAGAAGAATTTGAGCATAAAGCGAA